TTGAAGAACTGCCTAATATTCAATCTGTTGTGAAGAACCTGATTTGCACTCTGTAGTGTTTAAAGAAAAACTCTAATATTGAAGCTCTTAAATTTAGTGTATGTAAACAGCTTACAATATGTATTGTCTAAATGCATTTAAATCTCTTTTATTCAAAGAAAAGCTAAAGCAAAAATATTGGTATGTGACCATGCGAGACTGTCAGTGCAACAAAGACAACACTAATCATTATCAGCACATCCTACACTGGACTACAGTGCTCTCCAAAGTATTGGGAAAATGCATTACAGACAACTTGCCTGACTTTTCAATGAGCATAAGAGGCCCTCTAACCTATGCAGGTTTCCTGATTACGCATATAGAAAATGCTAGTGTGTTTTTGCTCACTCCATATGTAACAGGTGCCCTTATGTTGTGCTGTATCCTGTGCTTTTTCTGTGGGACCATTCCATTCAAGAACAAAGAGCACCATGATTCCAATCTGTGTGTATTTACTAACCCTTCCCTGAGGTTTGTGTATGTTGGATATTGTGGTGTTTTAGATCACTGAGTGTACAGAAGAGAGAATTCAAACAAAATATTGCTGTTCTTCAGTTTTGTTTGTGGAATTTGAAAATACTCAAATTTAAAATAAATTACTGGACTGTGGAAATAACATGTAGAATTGCAGTTTTAATTAAATACCTCTCAAACTTAAACCAAAGGAACCATGGTTTTGGTAGTTCCATATTGGATTCCAAGGGTAGGGAGGTATGAGAGCAGAAACGGAATGAGGATCGGGACATGTGAAAACACATATCACATTTATAACATAAGGCACACTATAGTGGGCTACATTTCAGCTATCTCCATCATATTAACCAAGTGGCACTTTTAAGTTTTGTCTAAGCATTTTACTTCAATGAACAAGGTCATGGATATGAAATTATATTAACTTGATATAAACATATAGAAACACGTAGTTCATGCTATTCCTCACCATGAAATTGTAAGGGTCCCCAAATTATGGGTATTTTAAGGTGATTTTTTTTAAACCAGTGTTTGAATCCAACTCTTGGCTGATGGTTAAGAATGTTACTTTAAGTTCATTTCACTATTAATTATCAGTAGAGTTAGAGAGCCCCCTACTTAGCCTTGTATTGCACAGAAGGGTCTTTTTTTGTTTTTTTAACTTAGAACCTCTTTTCGTTCCCTATCTTTAATTCCCACCCTATTTTCCTATAGGAAATTACAGTATTAGCTGGAAAATCACCCTTTTTTTGTTTGTCCTAGTGAAGACATCTTGCTATTCAGGATCTGGCTGCACTTTTGTTTCTGCTGGATCTCTGCTCCCTGTTTTCATCATTATGAAAATTAAGAGGGAGAATAATAATGGTCCTAGTGAGCCTATTCTTTTCAGACTCAACATGTGTTCAAGACCTTCATTCTCTTCCTTCCCTTCTCTAATAGAAACAAATTAAAATACTTCAGTTAAGGTTTTCTTACAGCATACTTTAAAACTTTTTTTTTAAGAACAACAAAAAATCTTGTGCTGTAATACTGAGTTGCCACTTAAGCCTTCTATAATGGGCTATAGTAGAAAGAGGAACTGCTTTGACTTGGGTTCAAATCCTGAACAAGATGAACTTCTGAGCTTGTTCCCTGAGTAATTTTCGGAATTCTTTGCAGGACTGTGTTTAAATCACAAAATGCCTAGCTCAAGACTAGATAATAGTAAGTGTTGTACAGTAAGTAGTAGAATGAATTGGTAATAAACTGTATTTTAAAGGATTTTATAACATGACTCTGAATGATTGTCTTGGAGAAGGGATTAAAAACCAAGGGTACTGGGTACTAAGAGTCCTTAGCACTTTCGATGTAACTGAAACAGGATAGAGGAAGGGGAGACATTACTGGGAAACTTTTCAGAAGGTAAGCATGCTTTCAGTGATCTTCCCTAATATCCAAATACAGCCTTTGTATAAAACCTGTGATATTTGTTGACAACTATTTCAACATAGGCAGTATAATAGCAGAAGACTAACTGGTGATCTCCGAGTAGGGTCGCTTAACTTTGCTGTAAATTGATTTAGTCATGCAGACATTCTCACTCTAGTGGTTCTCAAACTTTTTCTTTAGGATCCTTTTATACTCTTAAATCATTGAAGGTCCCAAAGAGTTTTAGTTTATATGGGGTTGCATTTATTGATATTTACTGTATTAGTAGTTAAAACAAATTTTAAAAATTATTAAATCCATTTAAATGTAATAGTAATAAACTCATTCCATGTTAATATAAAGAATTACAAATTAACTGTATGTCCCAAAACAAAGGTCAAGTGATAAGAGTGGCTGGCATTGTACTATTTTTTTATAACTTCAGAGTTTGTCTTAACAGAAGACTGCTGGATTCTCATCTGCTTCTATATTCAATCTGTTATATGTTTTTGTTGAAGTACATGAAGAAAGTATGGTTTCACAGATTTGTAACTAGGAAAGTATTTTAATAGCCTTTTTAGATACTTGGAGTTAGTTGAAATGTAGAATCTGAAATTATAAAAGTGAACTTTTCATACTGTTGTATTAAAATCCATTGGTCTATCTTTATTTTGAATGGATCTTTTACCCATGCATGATTTGTACTCTCATGCATTGGTTTTGTGGAAGACAGATTTACTACATTACATAGTTCTTCAAAATGTTGACACATTATATTATAAGATATTTGTGAGAAACACTGATCTTACCAGGAAAGTCTTAAGTTTGTGGAAGCTTGGATGAGAGGCAGATATAAGTTTTCCTACATCCTGTCAATTGTTATTTATGAGGAGACTGCTACCAAACATTCAGATCTGGATAACCAGTTTGTCGGTGGTTCTTGCCAGTAAAAATTTTCCATGATAAAAGCAGCTAGCTCACCACTCAGCCTCACAAGTATTTTTGTCGTATTTCAATGTGCACCAGAAGTGTTTAATGCTACACAGAATATTAAGACAGTTAGTTAAGGGTCAAATTTAATAATATTGTTAGTGCTTCATCCAGGGTGAAATTTTTTTTTTATTGTGGGGAGGGCAGTGAAAACTACTTGTACAGGTAGGTGCCACTGCCTTAATTTGTGAAAGGTGCCAGCAGTTTTACCCATGGTGTAAAAGAAAAATAATGTGTTAATATTATAAAAATAGTTTTAACCCCCTGAAAGTGTGTTAGAGAACCCATGGGCTCTGCCCATACTTTGAAACCTGTAAGATTATGAATCCTATTAAGTAAATACTAAGTACAGGTGAACTAGAGAACAAAATGTATCACCAGAATTTGCATACAATTCATCCTAGTAGATACGCCATGACTTATTACAATTACTTGAATCAGCCACAGCAGGCCATTCTGTGGGGAATGCAGTTCTTTGAACGTGGAACCAACAGTCTGAGGCAAGCCTCAGAAATTACCTGAGCCAGAACCATGCATTTAGGATTGAGTTCAATTCAATTACACTTTGTTGCATCACTTTTGAATCTAGTAGTATAAACATTCTCTTTAGAAACAGTTGCTACTGTGGCATCATTTAGTTGCAATTTCTCCTGTGCTGTAATATGCCGGTGTAACTGGTATAAAACTGACCGGGAGAGGGAAGGGGAGTAGGGGTGTTAGGCCTCGCGGGCTGAGTGGGCTGTGGGCGGCCAGGCCGTTCCGTGAGGCAGGGACCGGAGAGCCAAAAAAAAACTGACCAAATATTATAACTTTTAAGGCTGCCTGCAAACTCCTTTAAACTTATACCTTAGTTGTGCTATCATGCTGCTTATGTTGAAGTTAACTGCTAATTAATGCTAATTGTTGAAGTTAACATGGAGAGTTGAAGCCCTTAACATGCACCTGTTATCAAAATTCTCCCTGGCATCATAATTCTTAGGGATATACTAATTTAGAAATACTGCCAGGATCCCTCTAAAAGGCTCTCAGAAAAAGGGCTTTTTGCAAGAATACATTGTAAAAAGGGTAGAAGCTGTATAGTTGTGGGAGCTGGGAAGCTGGTATAGTAATACTGGAATTATGTCATGTTAATTGTATAAAGATCAAAAGGGAAATAAAGATGCCCATAAGTAATTGAATTATCTAATTCCTTCAGTTCTGGGTAAACAATGAGATGTTGTGATGACACACTACTTTCACTTCACAGTGACCATAAATTCCTACATGTGCCCATCACCACCTTTAGGGTCCATACAAGTCACTTCACCAGTTTCAATGCTTTCACTGTTAGGAAAGGGGGGAAGTGAAGCAGCTTTTATAGGTTATGATGTAGAACCACTGCTGAGAACCTTTGGCCACAGGGGGTCTGAGAAATGAGCATGAAACACTGCACAGGTGGGTTATATCAATGCTATTAAACCTCAACTTTGAGACATAAATTTTTAAAATCCAGCAGGTTAGAGTCTAAAGCAGCCGTGGGCAAACTACGGCCCGTTTGAAATGAATAAAACTAAAAAAAAAAAAAAGACCGTACCCTTTTATGTAATGATGTTTACTTTGAATTTATATTAGTTCACACAAACACTCCATCCATGCTTTTGTTCTGGCCCTCCGGTCCAGTTTAAGAACCCATTGTGGCCCTCGAGTCAAAAAGTTTGCTCACCCCTGGTCTAAAGCCTTTTGTGGGTGGCTATACAGCTATTAATAAAGTAGGTGCTCAGTCATCCAGAAAGTTATGGTAGGAAAGAACCTGCATCCAATGGGACTACCTTTGAACCCCTGATCCTCTCCAATGGTGACAGCAACGTAGTCTTGGGGAAGAAGAGCTATTAACATGCAGAGGGACCTAACCATGCAAAGGAAATGCTGCCCCCCCCCCCCAATCCAATTTTGTTGTGAACTGTTTCTCTTAAATATTTTTTGTTTCAGGACTTAAACCACTAGGACAATTTAACCAACTTTTTTTTTCTTTTTAGCCCAAGATAACTGTGTAACTGTGCCAAGTACATGACAGAAGAACATGGCAACAGATTTTCACCTCAAGAACACTTAAATTGGGGGAAGAAACTCAGCTTTTATTGTTAGAATTTGACAGTTTCAAACATTTGTGGTGAGACGATCATGATACAAAATTCTATCTAGTAAAGTTTTAGGTGACCAGTGACTTTGTCAATTAGGTCTGCTGGTCCTGGCCCAATTCCCAAGACAGTTTGAGAACCTGGTGCAATCTGAGTACGTCCAGCATCTTGGATTAAACTTACAGTCAGTCCCAGCGTCTTTGCGTGGGTCAGTAATGCAATCAGAGATTCTTCATCAGGGGCTTTGACCACCACTTTGGGCTGGCCACAGTATTCCCACTGTTTGAGCAATTCGGGATTTTTCCTTTGAATTTGCTTGTAGGCAGAAACAGCAGCATGAGAACACTGGGCGGCCACTTTCCCTTTTCCCATCTTTAAGTCATTTCGAACCACAAGAATCATTTTGTACTCCCCACTCTCTCCTAAGATGCTTGCTTCAGTTCTGGTTTCTGTGTTTGTCTCGTTCACTGAGCTTTTGGGGATCATCCCAAAGCGTACACGGAGGCCCCAGCCCAGGCACATGCCACAAGCTACTCCAGCAGCCACGCTGAGTGCACCAGGATGAGCCAAATACTCCATTACCAAGGATTTGGAGAGCATCTTAAAGGAAAGGAAAAAGGTTATCACTACACAGCAGTGAAAAGTTATAGGCTTACCAAATACCTTGATAGTATATAAGCAACAGTATTTTTAAAACTCTGAGGTCACCCAGAAAAAAGGCACAATATATTTTGAATCTTATGTGTGTATCGCTTTTTCTCCTCTGTACTAGAAAAAATTTCAAGAATACAGATGAAGCAATTTAAGTCATTTTGAATCTCAAAGTGAAAAGTATCTCTTGTTCTTGGCTACAACAAAGCTCTGTTCCTCAGAAAGGAAATGTCCTGTTTAACCAAGATGCCCGAAGGGTCTAAAGAAACCAAGAATAACTCCCCCACCCCCTTTTCTGGAATACAGTGCTTATTTAATCGTGTCTTCATAATGCAACGTGGGATGGTACCAGCGCCTCAGAGAAGTTCCTGGTTGTCTATGTAATGGGTCTGGAGTGAGGTGCCTTGCTAACATTTACTAGACCTGAGCATAGAGTGCTGTAAGTCTTACAAGTGAAGATTTGTCCCATTGGACATTATTGTAAGTGCAAAACTTAATACACAAGACGAACCCAATTTCATTTTACATACAAACACAAACTATTTTTTGCATTTAATATACAGTGAATTTACCAGAGTGCTTTATATAAAAACAAAGGGAGATTATCCTTTATCCTTTTTTATCTTAAAAATTAATTCTTGTTATCCCAGCAAAGCTGTTGATGGTATCTGAGTCACCAATAAAACGTATCAGTCTACATTTGAGGTTATTGGATTCATGTGATTCTGTGGCACAAGTCCTGGAAATACAGATTTTAACATAAATTTTCTTTTTATTCTCATGTTAAAATTAGGACATTGATGCTTTAAAAATTTATATGGTAAATTATATGCAGTTTTATCAAGTATTTTAATATAAGGATAGTGCAGGGAAAGGGGATGTTAAACCTTATGAGATGTAATTCATATCCTATAAAATTAACTTTTTTAACAAGTACAATTCATGTTTGAAAGTAAAAGATACTGAAATCAGTTTTAAATTGTATATTGCATTTTGTTTGACCAAAAGACATCTTGGTCAGAGATGTCTGGCAAATAAAAAAGATAGAGGTATCTCCCACATTTTGAAAATCCATGTTACATCACTCGCTTTTGTGAAAAACCTACATTAGTACCTGCTTTCAGTAACCAAAAGAAATCCGAAGATTTTCCATTTTACAAAAAAAAAAGGGCAGAAAGCAAAAAGTGTTCACTGTTTTTCAGCGATTCAATATAGAGGCAGCGTGCACCCAGAGTAGTAAGAGTGGCACTGTTTTTACTATCCAAGTATTATTTTAGGTTTCTTGTGTGATTTGGTACATTATTTTCTGGGGCTTGGGAACACTCAAATTTTTCCATATAAATGAACAGGAATTGCTTCTTCACTTTATACCATCCATTTCTACTTACAAAAGATTTCATAGGAGTCTTCTCCTTTCAGATAGTGTATATGTGCATCATTTTAGTGGTCAGAAGCCCAGGCTAGAAATATAGATTTAAGAGAACTGCACATACAACTGAGGTAATCAAAGTGATGAACGTGGATGAGGCCACTGGGAAAAGTAGAGTGAAGAAAGGGCTAAAACAAAATCCTGAGGAAACAAACATTTAGGGTTCAAAAGAGAGTTAGTGATGGGGTGGCTAGAGGTAAAAGGATCACACATGGTCTCAGTCCTCTTTCACTGGTGTGCCTAATGTGGTAACAGGGCTGTGCAGACAGGACTTCATGGCTCTAGATGTCTTTGCAGCCAGAAAAGTAAATTATTAGAACCCACATTGGGACTTCTCTCTGATAATCTAACAACCAAACTCTAAACTGAACAATTAGATGGATTCTCTGCTCTAATTTATAGGTTGCAAAGTAACCAAATATCTCATATGTCAAAATCAGGTACTATCCGGAGAAAGTAGGTTTACAGTTGTGAATACACGAAATAGTTTATTCTTGTATTATTTATTAATTGTATTTTCCATTGATCAACTGTAAACCTACTTTTGCCCCCCCCCGTACAGAAAAAAAAGACCTATTATATGTTGAATAACATTCTAAACCTTTTACTTCCATTACTGTTGCTATGAAAATAAAAGGAAAATATTCGCCTCATTTTAAAGATAAGAATCAGAGAAGCTGCTTATCCACAGTAACATGACTAATAAGAGCAGTATTAAAATGTACTCACTATCAAGGTCATGATACAAAGCTCACCTTCGAAGCTTTATTCCCAAATCATCATATGCTGAAGACCCCTAAAGCCTTTCTTGAGCTCCAAACTTGAATTTCCAGCTTCTGCTAGTTTCACCACTTAGATGTCTATGAAGTACTCTAAATTGAACTCAGTATCTTCCCTTCCCTCTCAAACTTCCTTTTTCTGTATTCTTGATTTCTAAGTAACTCTGGACTTTTCTGTCCTCCCACCCAGTCACCAAAACTTGTTGATCAGTCTTAAACCATCTTATCTAAGCAGTGCCCCAATTATCTCTTGGCCAAAAGCCTCTAAAATTAACTTCACTACCTCTCATCTTTCCACATTGGCTTCACTCGTGCCCTAGTTCATCCTAGTCCATCTGCCAGTATAATTATGCTCCTAAAACACAAACCTGAGTCTAACTTCCCTGCTCAAAAATCACTGGGTAAACGCCCCTAAAGGATAAAACAAATCCCTTTCCACGAATTTACAGCGCTACCCACTTTGGTTACAACCTACTGTATCCTTCTAACCTACCCTCCTGCTACTTACTGTACTACCCAGCCACACCAAATTACTAGGTCCCTTCAAGCAGCAATCTTCCCCTGCAATTATTTTCCTTCACTTAAACACACAAACAAAAACATCTTTACTCCTTAAGGCGCAGTTCAAATGCCTGTCTCTAAAATATTTACCAACCCCCAGTCTTAACTATTTATTCTTCCCAGCTGCTGTAGCGCTTGTACATAACTCCTCCTGTGGGTCACAGTCTCTGGCGTCTACTTCTTTAATATTTCAATTAAGGAAATATTTCTCTAGCCATTATGTCTGGGAACCAAATTTTCGATCATAGTCTTAGGAACGCCCCCCCCCAAGCCCTCACCCCCCCCCCCCCCCCTTTTTTCCTTCGTAGGGCTCAACAACTCGATACGATGGGGGGAATTCCATAAAAACAGCAGAGTGCGAGGCCTGCTCGGTGTTCTCTCACATTCGGAGCGAGCACATCGATGCTGCCCGAATGGAGGCTTTGTCTGGGAACTGAAAATTCTGGGCCCGTCCCCTGCCCAGCATCTTGGTCCCTTCTTCCAAAGGATGGCTGGCAGAACAGGAGCAGTGGGTCCAGCAGCTTTGGGGCGGCAGGCAACTTACGAAGATGAAAGGGTGGGGGTGCGGGTTACGGAAAGAAACATCCCAACTGGAGAGAGGATGGAAAACGGCATCCTCTCCTTCGCCCTGCGAGGGGCCCACCTACCTAGTGCGCTTCTCCTCGCCTCGCCCACGTCTTGAGGTTCTTCACTTTGGAGGAGCGAGCACGCTGCGATCGCACGAGGTACCTCTTCCGCGGTTCCTGGACAACAAGTTCCGGATCAAGAACCGCGGAGAGAACAGTCATTCTCCCTCTCGCTCCGCCCACAGGTCCCGAACCGAAATCCTGCGACCATCAGCCGAGGTTGCCGAAAGGAGGTGGGAACGATTCTCTTCAGGAGACGGTCTCCCGGGGGAACACGGACCGGAAGTGACGTAAGCGAGTTCCGGTTTTGCCGGAGCCCAGCGGCGGGTGTGAGAGTCGGTCAGGTGTCGCTTGTAGGATCCGGAGATCCGGAGCAGCCGGGGTCAGAGCGGGTAGGTAAACGAGTCCGGGGAATTGGGGACGGAAGCCCGAGACTTGCCTCAGAGCTCAGCCTCTTCCGGAGCTCTCCCACTTACGCCGTGCAGACCTGGGGCACCGTGATTTCGACTTTGAGCAGTGTTGTCGGGGGCTGCGGACTCTGGATGTCTGTCTGGCGGTAGCCAGCTTATCTGGGACACCGCTCCCCGGTTGGCCACCGGTACACCGAACCCACACACTGCACTCCCGACCATTTGCCTTGAGCGCCACTGATTGGCAAGCCGTTCTCAGCTGCTTCTTCCTTCCCCGGTTTCTAGGACTTTAGAGTAAATGGAGATCTTCCCTGCTGATGACCAAGCTGTTTAGAAGCATACGCTTTTAAGCAAAATTCAGACGTGTTGTTTCATGTATAGCTTGTTCTCGTTTTTTATTTAGAAAATTTTTTCACACTTGTCTGAAACGAGGTGACAAGGTTGTTGAGATGTGGAATTATATAGATTAGAGGTTATCATTAGTTTTAATAGCTAGTAAATTTGCGTGTTGACTTTGTAACTACCAAACACTGATCTTATAGTCATTGGTAAATTTTTTTCATTGATTTTAGTGAGAGTGAGAGAGAGAGAAACATCGATGTGATAGAGAAACTTCAGTTGCCTCCCATACATACCCCCACGGGACAGGGAGCCCAAACCCTGTGTATGGGTGTTCCCGGGGATGCTCCAACCAACCGGCCAGGGCTGGTCTCATATTCTTTTTGTTCAGTTCAGTTATCGAGGAACTGATTACCCAAATTTTCTCACTTTCCATCTTCTTCCTGTCTTTGGCTTGAATAACCACTTTTTAGAATTGTAAAATATCATCAAACTTTGAGTCAAAGACCTGGATTGAAGCCCAACATTTATTGAGTGAAAGTTGACAGATTACCTAACTTTCTGAGCTGGTTGGTAAAGGTGCTGCTCATTTTATTTCATAGAATGTCACAATGATTGAGATAGTAAATGTGAAATCACTATGTAAGTGAAAATATGGTGATATTGTCATTTTACTCTGAAATCTGGACATGTCTAGTGCAGAATACTGTTCCTTTGCATCTCTTCAAAATTTGGTGTTTTATGTTGTGTAGTATTTATCAGAAAGTATTATCATACATTTCTCTGAGATGATCTTTGCCCTACTTTTGAACACAATAAAAGCTAGCCAGGAATAATTAGATACTGTAATCCATTGAGTTAGTCACCTTAATAAGTAGGTGACCGGAAAATGAGTATAGCTTTGTATTTGAGAGTCTAAGTCTGATCTTTTTTGGTCATCATGTATTATTAAGAATTTACAAGTGCAGAGGAAGCTGAGGTTTTTGGTGCTTATATATAGTTAAATACCTATTGAATGCAGTATTTAGAAGTAGAAGCAACCTCTGTGAACATATAGTTAGATTTTTCTCATTTAATAGGAGAAAATTGAGGCCTAGAAACAGTCAGTATTGGCTTGCCTGAGGTCCTATGGCTTAGGTAGTGCCAGAACCTGAACTGGAAATGAGATCCCAGGTGTTCTTTCTGTTCTGCTCAGGTTGTCTCTAGGCATCTTTATATTGTTTGGTAGTATTTCCTGGTTTGCATGAAAATGATTTCTCTTATGTAGTAAAGAGATATATATGTGTGTGTATACATCCACCCCTCCCCCCTTTAGTCTTGTAAATTCCATGAAAACAAAAACGCTATGGTTGGCAAGATTTGCAGTGGAATGTTATAAGGAAAGAAAATTAGTTCTATTCTTCAGAACAGTTATTCTGAGTTCATGCTTTGTGAGTATCAGGTATCGAGGTATCTTCTTTCTGGCAAGTGGAAAAGACAGAGGATCTTTGTAACACATGTCTCACTCAGTGAATGTTGCTAATACGTATGAGAAGCTGTATTAATTACTTTGCTCCTGCTAAAAAAATTTCTCCAAGCTGTTTGTAATTTCATCATTCTGTTATTCTAGAGGCCCGGTGCATGAAATTGGTGCACGGGTACAGTCCCTAAGCCTGGTTGGCGATCAGAGCCGATCGGGGCCTTCTGGCTGCTGGCCGGGGCCTTCCTTTCCTGGCTGCCAGGTGCCAGCCAGGGCCTCCCTTCCCTGGCTGCTGGCGGGGGCCTCCCTTCCCTGGCTGCCACCTGCCAGCTGGGGCCTTCCTTCATTCCGTGCCGCCTACTGATGGTCAGATCATGTCATAGCAAGCAATCGAACTCCTGAGGGGCCACTTTGCATATTAGCCTTTTATATATATAGACTAGAGGCCCAGTGCACGAAAATTTGTACACTCGGTAGGGGAGGGGGTCCCTCAGCCCAGTCTTCGCCCTCTCACAGTCCGGGAGACCTCAGGGGATGTCCTACTGATGGCTTAGGCCTACTTCTGTAGGAGGCGACCAGGCGGGCCAATCAGGGGACAGCGCTACCCCAATCACCCCGCTGCTGCCAGCCTCCCTCTGCAGGAGGCGACCGAGCGGCCGATCAGGGGATGGCACCAGAAGGCGCAGCCTCACCTCACCCCCCCATCACCTCTCCGCCACCACTGGTAGCTGTTGCCTCCTGTTGGGGTCCTGCCCCAGCAGGTCCAGGGGTTCCCAAAGGTGTGGACAGAGTCAGCGAAGAATGAAGGACAGGGAGGCAGCATTCAGTTGATCAGCATAGCGAGGTTCTCTTTTTTATTGTTCTATTACATCTATATTTATACCATTTCATCCTATAGTATGCCTCTATAATCACATCATGGTATGTTTTGGGTAACGTTCTACAGTTTCTTGTTTCTTATCTGACCTTTGCCAAAAATCCTGTCTCTGTCTAGTTCGGTTGATTTTAATCTTGTCTAGGTTAATCTCTGTGTT